CCTATTCTATTATTTTTGTTTCAAATTCAAATGAAGACAATACTTGAGCTTCTTTTTGAACCTAAGAATCCATGAAAGGGAACCCCCAATTCCCTGGTAACATTATCAATAAATGAAGCAAACTCATATGACAAAATCCAACACTTATACATCATAAAACCTCTGAGAAAACTAGGATCCCAAGAGGACTTCTTTAACTCAATAGAAATCGGTAGAAAGTCCACAGCTGCTGCCATCACTTGTGGTGAGAACTAAATAGCTTCTTTCTAATATCAGGAGCTAGGTAGTGATGCCAGCCCCATTTCCTTTCATCCTATTCTGTAAGTCCCAGATAAAGTAGTAAGATAAGGAAAAGGAGTAGAATTTATACAGAAAGAAAGAGAAATAGTCCTCATCCATTGACCAAATGGTTGTCTATGTAGAAAACCCCAAAGAATCAACAACAGAAGATTCTAGAGTTATTATGCAGTCACAGCAAGATCTTGGGATACAGTCTGTTGGTATGGACCCAGTGTTGCCCTGGCTTCTTCATTCTGGTCTCCTCAGACATATTGCTAGTTCAGCTGCAGCCAATCTATAGGAGCTCCTCCTCTCTCCTCATCCTCATTCCCTCGAGACCCCACTACTTTCTTTTTACCTCAGAAAGAATGGCCAAGATCAATCAATCAATCAATTAATCAATCAATTAAAATCAGGGCACATGCTGGTGAGGATATGGGATAAGGGAAACACTTATTGTTGAAGGGAGTGAAACCTTGTACAGCCACTATGGAAATCAGTGTGATAGTTTCTCAGGAAGCTGAGAGTAGATCTTTCTCAAGATTGACCCTTACCACTCGTGGACATAGACACAAAGAACTCAGGACTGTACTACCGAGACATGTACTCATCCATGATTACTGCTGTTCTATTCACAATCACCAGAAACTTGAAGCCACCTAGATGTCCATCAACTCATTAATGAATAACAAAATGTGATACATTTACACAATGGACTGTTATCCAGTTACTAAGAAAAATGAAATCATGAAATTTGAAGGTAAATGGATGGAGTTTGAAAAAAATCATACTGAATGATATAAATCATACCCCCAAAAGATGAATGCTGTATGTTTTCTCATATATATGAATGAGATGGTATACTCATCTATTTTTCAATTTTAATATGAGTGTTAAAATCTTAATAACCACAGAATTTAGGTATCTATTAAAGGATAAAGGTTGAGTGTGGGATGGGGAAAGGATCTTCCAAGGTAGGAGAAATAGAATATAGTGCTAAGGAGAGAAAAGGGGAAAGATAGACTAAGAGGATTAAACAGGGAGGGAGATGGGAGTGAGGGTAAAGTAGGGGATGCAGGGAGAGACAACTACAACTAGAACTAAAGGCATTTTGAAGAGCCATATGGAGGCCCACTAATGTAGATTACCAAAATATAAAAATATGTGAAATGAATCAAAATTGAATCACCAAATAGTAGGAGAGAAAATGTCACAACTAGACATCTTATGACAACCAAGTGAAACTTCCAGTGTTGGGAATGGCTTCCATCTTGCTGAAGAATTAGCTAAAGGGGTTATATGGCAATTAATAGCCAAGGCTATTGGTAGTTCCCTACAGCCTGATGGTAGGACCCAATTGCTGATGACAGCATCTACGTATCTGATTGAATATAAAGAAGTTGAGCTGGTGCCTAACTAAAAGCTTCACCACTAGTAACTAGCATTCATGGTACTAGAAGGTACATTGCACAGTCCTAGAGAAAGGTAGTCATCAATGTTACCTAACTAAAAATGCCGTGACCTACAACAGCAAGATATACTGGTGCAGTCATAACACAAATGTTGTGGAAGTAACTAATTACTTTTTGATCTAATATAAGGCCTGTGCCATGAGATGGAGCCTCGATCTAATACTGCTAAAGTGCCCACAATCCTGAGACTGGATAGGTTGTGGGCCTAGGGGAAAGTCTAATACTGTTATTCTGCTAAAGGAACAAAGAAATAAAATGACATCTATTGGCATTCTGCCTTTTCTTGCAATTGATGGAAATTAACAGATACCCACAACTAGACTGAGATACTTTGGAATATTCAGTCCTGAATGGAATGTCTTCATCTAACCTTTTCCCTCCTGGCTCAGGGATCTGTGCAAAAGGGGAAACAGAAAGAGTATAGGAGCCAGAGATAATGGATGACTCCATGAAAGCAGTGTCTTCAAGATAAAATGGACATATGGCCTCATAGAGACTGTGGCGAGCATGCTCAAGACTGAACAAGTTCAATCTGTATTGAGTTGTAGCACTGAGAGAGGAAGTGCACATAAGCTCCCATTCCTAATCAAGAAGCTATCTGCAACTGATACATGGAGGTAAGGAAAAATCAATTTTCTGCAAAGGATCTTTGCAGACATATAAACCAAACTTGAGAGCAGGTGCCATGCTCAGAAGTAACGGCGAACAGAAAATGAACTTCATGGTATTTTTTGTAGACTTGTTTTGTTGTGACCTCTTTTGTCTTATTTGCCTGTTTGGTTTGATTTCTATTTTTGCATTTTTTGGAGGTTGTTGTTGTTGTTGTTTTGTTGGATGTGTTTTTATTGATAGGAAGAATATGTAGTTGAGCAGGTAGGGAAGTAAGGAGAGTCAGGGAGGTGTTAGAGGGAAGGGAAACATGGTTAAAAAATAATTTAAAAATAATGACATAAAATAGTAAACACCGTTATACTGTAAATATCTGAAGTATTTAACTGGAAAAAAAGAAATTATATTAAAAAGATAAAGATGTCAGCCCTCAAAGCATGAAAGAACTAATCCCACAGAGAAATACGTGCAGCAAGCAGCACAGGTGCAAGCAGTTTCTTAGCTGTTTGCCTAATGGTGTTTATCTGTGTCTTCTGTAACACACACACACACACACACACACACACACACACACACACGTACATATTTCTTCCAAAGATTTTGGGATACAAGGTGAGATGGATAATCTTCACTATAACCTTCAACTGTACTTGGATGTAGGATTGTGAAAGGACAGCATGGTATCCGGTTGATCACTGGCTAGTGATAACCAGAGACCCAGCAGATTAGAGACTTCACAGGTTTCCCTGCAAGGGACAGCATGCATTTCATCATGCTCCCAGATTCCAAGTTCCCGACATGAGGCCAAAGATCTCCACCAATCTGTGTCTTTCAGGCACATAGGACAATACCCCTACAGCTCCTCCCAAAGAGAGGTTTGTGGCCTTTGGTCACATAGCACAGGTAAATGGCATGACTACAGTCTGCAGAGCCTCAAGAGATCACCATATTAATGAGATACCTAAAGGCCGGAGGGTGTAGCCAATTAAGCATTTCTTTCCAGACCCTCCTCCCCACTGCAAAAGGTATTTAACCTCAGGCCTGTCCTGAGAACATGTGTTACAGCTTCATCCCCTTTCCACCATGACAATAAATGCTTTAAGACCCAGAATACCTCTCCTCATTGGGGCCCACTGTGGGGAACCATGGAGAAAGTCTCCAACTACCAAGCCTGTCTACAAAAAAATTCAGGGACAAAAATGGAGCAGAGACTGAGGAAATGGTCAACCAATAACTGGCCCAACTTGAGACCCACCCCATGGGCAAGCTCTCATCCCTTACACTATTACTGGTACTCTGTTATGCTTATAGACAGGAGCCTAGCACAATTGTCCTCTGAGAGGTTTTACCCAAAAGCTGGCTGAAACAGATTCAGAGATCCATAGCCAAACATTGGACAGTGCTCAGGGAGTCTTATGGAAGAGTTGGGAGCAAGAATTGAGGGCCCTGGAAGGGATAGGGACTCCACAGGAAAATGAACAGATTCAACTAACCTGGACCTTTGTGGGTTCCCAAGACTGAACCACCAATCAAAAAGCATATGCAGAATGGCTGGACCTAAGCCATCTCCACATATGTAGCAGAAATGCAGCACAGTCTTCATGTGGGTCCCCCTTCACCAGGAGTGGGAGCTGTCTCTAATACTGTTGTCCATCTGTGGTTCCCATTTCTCTAACTAACTTGTCTGACCTTATTAAGAGAAGATGCACCTATCCCTGAGGAAACTTGATGTGCCAAGGTGGAGGAATACCATTGGGGGCCTTTGTCCTCTCAGAGGAGAAGAGGATGGAGAATGAGAGGAGAGAATGTGTGAGGGGCAGACTGGGAGGAAGGGGCAGCCATCCAGATGTAAAGTGAATAAATAAATAATGAAAACAAATGTTATAGGATGAATGGGGATTTGATGAAATCTCAAAGATGTGTAAAGATAATGTTGACTTTAAGTAATTGCTTAAATAAATATTTTCTATAATTAGTTAAAAATAAACAACAATGGAAAAACTTGATATAAGGTATTTAAAAAATAATCTAGACACATCCCTTTCACAGAAAAGTAGTATAAAATATGTACATAATCAAAACTATAAGATTCTCAGGGAGGTGAGGAGATGTTCCCACAGGTGAATTACTCATTGTACAAGCATGAGGACCTGAGTTCAGATCCCCAGTGTTCTCAATCAAACCTTAGGCTCCACCCAAATACACACACACACTTAGAAGAAAACATAGGATAAATTTAGGTGACATTGGGTTTGGCTCTGAGTTTTTAGAAGTATCAAGTGCATTATGATCTATAGAAAAGGAAAGTTTGATAATTTGGGCTTTATTAAAATAAGAAACTGCTTTGCAGAAGACATTTTAAAATAAGTTACAGGATGGGAGGAATGTTATCGCAGGTATATAAGTCTTTTAAAATTCAACACAAGCAGAACAGTCTAATAAAGAAATGGGCAAAAGATCTGACCAAACTCCTCACCAAAGAGGAGAAGCAGATGCCTAAAAAGCCCACAGGCGTATTGAATACCTCAGCAGTGAGGTGTTACAGCACACCAATTAGAATTCCTAAACTCTGAAACTCGACATCACCAAATGCTGCTGAGGATGTGGAGCATCAGGAACTAGTCTTCATTCTTGGCAGAGATGCAAAATGACAAGATTGTTGTGGAAGTCGATGAGTACTTCCTTACTAAAGCAAGCACAGTATTTCTGTGTGATCTGCATTTGATCTTGGTAGTTTTCAAGTAAATCAAAATGTATGACCACATAAAACAATGAATTCCCAATCTTTATACAGACTTATTTATAGCTAACAAAATACGGAAGCAACAGAGATGTCCTTCACTGGAGGTGGGAATGCTGTGTTACAGCAAGTGCACCCAGACTGTGCATTGCTATATAATTGCTTAAGCATGAAATGAAAGGGCTTCCCATGCATGGAAAGAGCCACTTTACATGTGTCTACACAGCAGGAAGCAAGCCCATGAGGCTTGGACGTTGTATGACTTAACTCTAGACTGTTTTGAAAAAGTCAATAAATGAAATCAAAACCAATAAAAAGATTGGTATTTTCTGGTGGCTGGAGCTGAAGGGGGAGAGTCAAGAAGGGATAACCAGCTGCTGGGTGGGATTTAGAAGGTGAATCTATTTCATATAATGTTGTAATGACCATGTATCTGACAAGTCTATCAAATGCGCATCTCAGGACCAAACTCTGATATGAAGAATCAAATTTGGTTAAAAATAATAAGTCATCAGTGGCTTATCAATGCCAACGAAAATACCACAGTGATGCAAAGCACAAACATCCAGGGGCCTGCCTACACTGGAGCGGGCGGCTCAGGAAGGGGGGGAAGCAGTTTCTCTGTAAACATAAAAGTGCTCTATAAATGAAGCCCATTAATTTTTAAAAGTTTATATAAGAAAATATAGCTAAAAATTGAAAAGCTATACCAGGGCTGACTGGTTTTATGAGGTTTTTAAATGTTTGGGAACAGCTAACGCTTACATTACTCAAATAGTGTTAGAATATGGATAATTGAAAAATCTTTTAAATTCTCTTTCTTAAACAATTAGGAATAAATGAAAATTCTACTTAAAAATAAGCCAGAAATAAACAACAATCCCAGTAAAAATGAATTCACGAAAGGAATGCAGTCGTGTGATAAAATAATAAAACCCCAAGTTACAAAAAAAAGATGTTATTCTCTAAGTTCCAGAAAGGAACTGTATTGGGGGACTGCAGTCAGGAGAGCACCATGTCACATCTGTTCAGGAAGTCTGCCTTTGGCAATTCACCATGCATACTAACACTGAAGACATTTTGAAATTCTACAGGAAAGAAGCCTGGATTTGGTCTAAACCAGTTCTTCAAAGTTATTTGACAGGAGAACACTTGGTTTACTTTATGTATTACCCGTAAGTAACTAAGGATAATAACATTACAGAACTCATCACTCAATGCAGATATGTTTCAAGTTGCCTTCAGCCCTGTGAGAAGACTAATGCTTCAGGATTCCCTGATCATAAACATCCAAGCCTGTTACCTCACATGGAGAAGAGGAGTTGAGATTGCAGATGGGATGAAGTTGCTGATCAGCTGCTTTTCCAATAAGACTGTTACCTAGAATTATGTGAAAGGGTTCAGTGTAGTCGCAGGTTCTTTAAAAATGGAAGAGGGAGAGCGAGGGTGATGACTCAGTGCCTATAGTGTCCACACAAGTACGAGGACCTGAGTTCAGCCTCAGCACCCATACAAAAGCTGGACCTGTGGACTTATACTAATAACCCTAACGCTGGGAGGCAAAGACAGTGGATCTCAGAGGCTCAGTGCCCAGCCAGTGTCGCAGAAATGAAGTGTTTCAGGTTCAGTGAGAGGCCATGTCTCAAAAATTAAGAGGGAAAGCCTTCAAGGAAAATACCCAACATGAACCACTGACCTCCACACCTGCACACATAGGCATGTACGCATGTACACACAAGTCATATGGATATATATATATATATATATATATATATATATATATATACACACATACTATATATATATATATATATATATATGATTTATTAGAATGGCTTGCAGGCTGTGATTCAGCTAATCCAATGATGAGATGTCTACCACTGGAAAGTCCAAGAATCCAGTAATTGTCCAGTTCATGAGTCTGGATGTCTATGCTGGTCTTCAGTATACACTGGAATTCCTAAGGAGTAGAGTTTAACGCCAATGAAGAAATGAACTTTCTGGTGAAAGCAAGGGAAAGCAAGCACAGAGATGTCTCTTAAAGAGGGGAATACTTGTCTTCAGATGATAGGAGAGCCTTGCTCCAAAATCCCCAAAGGATTCCTCCATGAACCTCTAGGGCCCTACCAACGGCTCCAAACAGCATCCCTGTCTGCTCAATCACATAGTCAAAGTGATAGAGAACTCTGCACAGCAGGTTGGACCGACTGAACAGTCATCTCCTGTTCCTGGCCCCACTCAAAGCTAGCAGCTTTGGGTCCTACTTTTAGATAAAGAACTACAGGGAACTAATGACCAGTGGGAGGAGAATTAGCCTCTCCCAGGAATGAGGCCCATTATTGGATGCCCAGAGTGGTCAGTCCTTTAAAGTAAATATGCACAAAAAACAAAACACACACACACACACACACACACGGAAAGGAAACACATTGGAAACTGATTCTTTGCAAGCTTCTGAAAGGATGTATCCCTGTCTTGGACTCTAGAGCTGGAAGATAATAAAGCTATGCTGGTATTGCCACTGGGCTTTCAGCAGTTGGTCTAAGTGGCTAAAGGGAATAAATGTCTCCTCTAAGAAAAGCATTGCTTATTTTATAATTAATCTTACAGGATAGACTATGAAAGAAAAAAACTGAACTTAGCATAAAGTCAAATCCTCAGGACCTGTAGGGTGTGGCTGGTGTCTCTGCTTTGGGCTGTGGTGTAGTAGAAGGGGGTTTGTCTGTAGCCTTAACATCTGTGCCATCATGGGAAAACGGTTTTCAAGCTGTCTGATCTTTCACCATTTTGCTATGAAATGATTGTGGAGACTTTTAGTCAGGACTTGGAAGAACTTGGAAGCCAGATTGAAGGCTTTGAAGCCTGGCAGGCATCTTCAGTGGCTCTGAGATTCTTGGAGTTTTTGTCTGCTTCCTCTGCTATCAATCCCGACTCAAACCATCCTTTCCCTCCTCCTTTATGCAGCTCTTAAAGCATCCTGACAGTCAAGCCCCAACGCATTCATTAGAGAATTCTAAAGAGGAAAACACTCTTCTCTTCATTTTGCTCTGTATCTGTGTGGTTCATGGCCACACTCACCGACAAATCCCTCATGGGTAATCACTGTTCTTGATATCTTATGTGAATTCTAGACATATCTAACGAAGTTTAAGACAAAAGTCAGGCACTCAGTTTACACAAAAGGTGACATTTTGCATACATCGTGTTGCATCTAACTTTATCACTTAAACACTTATCTTGAAAACTTTTCTCTGCATTTATCAGTTCTTTTGTTATGTTCATTTACTCCACCTGTGTAGTGTATTTTTTATTATAACTGCCCATAATTGACGCGCCACGGCTTCGGTAGCGACCGGCTGTCCTCTGCTGCTTGAGCGGCGCCAGCACCTTCCCTAGGAGCTCGCAGCAGCCGGCTGGCCCCTGCTCCACTGTAACCATTGCGACTGGAAGGCGGTGATCAAAAATGCAGATATGTTGGAAGAGATGCAACAGGACTCGGTGGAGTGCGCTACTCAGGCGTTGGAGAAGTATAACATAGAGAAGGATATTGCGGCCTATATCAAGAAGGGGTTTGACAAGAAGTACAACCCCACTTGGCACTGCACTGTGGGCCGGAACTTCGGTAGTTATGTGACACACGAAACCAAACACTTCATCTACTTCTACCTGGGTCAGGTGGCCATTCTTCTGTTCAAATCTGGTTAAAAGCATGGTCTGTGCCAAACACCCAGTGATCCATCCAAAAACAAGGACTGCATCCTAAATTCCAAATACCAGAGACTGAATCTTCAGCCTTGCTAAGGGAACACCTCGTTTGAATCTGTTGTGTTTTGTACAGGGCATCATTCTCTGTACAAGTTTGTGGTTATAAAATTAGTAAAACAGCTTACATTTGTATTTATTTTCTAGTCCATACTTCTGTACTCCATTTTTTTCTCCTTTAGGTCATTCCTTTAAAAATAAATCTGTTGGAGATGTAAAAAAAAATAATAATAACTGCCCATAACTTAACCTTAGGGGAAAATGCTGTTGACTATTTTCTTCTCCAAACAGTGATAAAGTGAATTCTCTCATGCAAAAATATTTTTACATCTTTGCAAATAGATATGAAGGAAAATGTACCAGAGTACTATTGTTGGGTCAAAGTGCTTGTACATTCTGGCTAATAGATATGGGCAAGAGAGGTAAGAGCTTTCCTCAGCTGGACTTTATAAAAAGGGCCTAGTGATAAGCATACTTCACAGACTGCTTTATAAGACCCAAGTAGGTGTGTGTAAAGCAGTTAGGATGAAACACATTTTACCTCTCATTAATGTCTACATTAAGCAATATCAGGTAATAAATTGCAAAGGGATAGTGATAAGATTTTAATCTAGAATACTAATGTTGCTATAAAATTCCATAAGTGCTAACCTGGGATCAACACATACAATACTTCAATAACTCACCTGATATGCAAGTACAAATCCTCTGAAGTTAGCATATTTATGTGTCAATTTGATTCTAACATATTAAAGTGGGGTTTGCTTTAAAATGTGCTAACTGCTTGTTCCAATTTATACATATATATATATATATATATATATATATATATATATATATATAACTAATGTGGGACTTTAATTCAAACAGCCCAGGTTAAAAGTTGTCTAAGAAAGAAAGGTAGCCTAGTCATTTCGGGTGTTTTATAGCCATTAGCATGGGAAAAGATGTCTTTCAACTTCAAGAGACAACAAACAATTCAACTGGAAAATAGTCCCAACTTAAAAAAACAATCAATTCTCCACTGGAATAACTTCTATCAAATAATTTGAAATTGCTAAAATTTACACAATCACCTTACCTTGCATATTGATACATATTGATACATATTGCCTTGGAAGAGTCTGTGCTATAACAATTGTTATTATAGCCATACAAAGGTTAGTATTTACTTCTATGCTATTGTCATGTGCTGCAGTTTTGGGATTCAGAAAATGTATAAAAATCATACATATATAATAAAACACATATAACTAGAATTAGAATCTTCCCAAATGTCCCATTTAGTACTTTCATTTAAGTTACAAAAGGAAACCGTGTGGTATTTTGAAGACATCAGCCTGGGGTTTAAAAGTCACAGTTAGCACTCAGTTCACTGCAGAAGGTAGAAAAAAAAACATATTGGAAAGACTGAATGTTTCACAGATCTTGCAGCAAGAATTACAATCAGCTTTTGTAAAGATCTCCAGAGGTAACTTTGTTAGCACATCTACTTTCATTGGGTGGCTGCTGCTCTCTGCTGCCATCTCTAGCCTTCTTCCAGTAAAACAGGTTCTTAACAAAATTATATTTTTATACAGTTTTGAATGCTACCATGAACCTTCCTGACTCCTGAAACTTCCACAAGTTAAAAGCAGTAACTTTATAAACTTCAACACAAATAATTCTATAACAGAAAGAATATCGGACTGCGGAATAGCCAGTGACCAGAGTCACCTGGCTACACCAACTACATTTTTGGCAATGTGGCTATGTTACTTTTGCAGGGCAACTATGTTAGCAGCTTTTCTGCTCACTGTGACCAGAAACAGGAGCCAGGAAACAATTTTAGGGAGAAGAAGGGTTTTTTGCTCATGGTTTGAGCCTTCTTTAGGTAAATGTTAATCTGAGTATCTATGTGCTTCACTATGTTTAATTCTTGCTTTCAATTCATTAGGTGACAACATACTGACAGAATTTCTGGTCTTATAGTACTTCTAGACTTTTTTTTGAGGAACAAACAAGCTGTTTTCCACAGGAGTGAATGTTTTACTTCCCTACCAGCAATTCACAAATGTTCTCCATGTCCCTGTAATACTTGCTATCGTCTGTCTTTTGGATAGTAGCCATCTGGGTGTGCCTGGAGATCTTGTACTGCTGTTTGAACACAATCCTTTATAAGATGCAATTTCAATGCATCATGATGATGGAGTCCAATATCACCTAAGCTCAGGGAGAAGCTGTGCTACGCCACGTGGTACTCTCTGTTTCTTAGTACCACCAGCTTTTCTGGACTGTGCAGCCTATGGGTGAATCATGTCTTCTAGAGGACAGAAAATCATGCTGCCGCTCATATCCAGAAGGGATACATGGCTCATTTTCTTTTCCACAAGCTCAAACAATTCTGTTACTCTGTTCTCTTATCAGAGCTGAGATATGGCAGGAAAGCTATGGGCTGACAGGGGTAGGGAGTAGCAATTACCAGGTGCCAGGTTACGAGTTAAATATAAGATAACTGAAGTTGAAATTTCTGGTTTCTTTTAGAGACTCGGTGATATCGTGTGATGTTCTTCTGGAAACTGTTATGAGAGGATGTTTTGCTGAAGCAGACACTTGAGAGGATATTTTGCTGAGGAAGAAAGATATTTAAGAGGACATGTGATGTTTGAAAAGAGTATAAGTAAAACCTAACAGACAGTGAGTGACACTCTTGCATTGGTTTGCCTTGCAACATTTCACTTGTCTTTGCTGACAACACTCTTGCGTTAGTTAGCCTTCAAGACTTCACCAGTCTTTGCTGATTTTGCTTGGGGTGACTTTGTACAGATAAATGGATCCTTCTCGTGGTATTTTGGATGCCTCTTGCTGCTTTTGTGGACTTGTGACAATTCAGCAGAACCTTGAGGTTTCTTCTGGTTTGAGCCACTGCTATTGAATCGTATTTGGTGTTGGCTATTGGACTGGACTGCCAATACTGGTCTCTGTTTGGAATCACAGGCCCACATCTTTTGTTTTCTATTAATTTTTCTTCTCTCACACCTTTGGTGATATACCATTGGCTAGAAGGGAGGCTGAAGCATTTAAGAACCCTAATTAAAGTAGGTTTCAAAACAATCTAAGGCTACAAATACCTAGCTAGCTTTGAATTTCAGAAAAAAATAACAAGTAAATACTTACTTTGGGTATTTTAATTTGTTTACCATTAGCACTGGAAGTCTGGCCCCTGGAACTTTCTAGAAGCCAATGCATCGATACTGAGTTTTAACCATTCAGAGGGAAGTTCTAGGAAGGGCTGTTGTTAGTGCTGTATGGTACAAGGCTGCCTCCATTCCAGAGATGATACAGAGCCCTGGTAAAGCTATACTTAAACTGATGAGACCAAAGAACACTAATAGGCATCCAAAGATTATCTTCCATCTTTGTGTATCTTGATCAAATGATATACAGTTAGAAAGGCCAATCTAAAGTCGTGAAGATTTGCTTAGGGTCTTATATATACTATCAATGAGATTTTAATGTATCTATTCACCACAAAAAAAGTGGGAGGAAAGGGGATGAAGGTGGAACTACAAAACCTACCTTTAGCTCCACCTTCACAGCTCTAGTCCATTTGCCTGCATTCCACCAGTCTTTCCCATCAAGGAATATTACCACTTCTTGATCTCTTCTCTGAATGTTATACTGTACCCGCATTTCAGCTGTTCATACGTAAACTTGTATGTATATGCCAGAGTCCACAAGTGAGGGAGAACATGGTTTTCCTCTTTCTGAGACTGGGTGACTTCACTTAATATTACAAGTTACAAGTCCATCATTCTCTTGCAAATTTCATGATTTCATTTCTTTTTCTTTTGGCCTGAATAATATTCCATTTTGGCACTCATTTTGTGACCTACAGAAGTGGCAATTTAACCAAAGTTGTTTCTCCCAGAAACTGATCTAGGAGAGGCAAAACTGGCAGTCTCAGGGAAGACATTACAGTAGTAGAGCAGTCGATGCAGGGACAGTTGTGGCTAGCTGGCTTCAGCCATTTCCAAGTTGAACAGCTGAGTGGTAGAGGGAACTGAGAGCAGAGAGGGGCAAGACCATTCCCAGAGACAGAGAGAAGCTACTGTTATTGAGAATTAACAAATTCCCATGAAACCTAGATGGACTTTGGCATTCATGCTCAAAATGATTCCCCTTGTATATCCTTCATCCTTCTCTTACTCTGCTAGCTTGAGAGAGTTCTATTTTATCCAGCCATGGTGAGAGCTCAGGTTCACATTATTAAAACCCTAGTTACATTCATAAACATCAGATGTATATTGTCACAGAAAAGAGAATTTCATGTAGTGGGAACACCAAAGAGCCTGAAATCTGGAGATTCCCCATTCCCTCATTGTGTGACCATGGGCAAAGTTCCGGCCCACCCTGAATCTCAGTTTCTTGGTTCACAGTATAAGGATAATTTTGCTTACAATGTCTATCTACTACATGGGAGGAAGATAGGTGCAAGTTATAGATCAGAGTGTTTTAGAAGATTTACTAACATATCAATACAAGTCATCATTATTAATTTTTTACACGTGACCAGAATCGAAACAGATTTATAGTTTGGCCTTTGTACTGGTATCATTTCCAAGGGCTGTTCAGGGAAATCCATTGAACATTCTTAGACATGCTAAGGCTGACATGGGACCAGAGGTCACGTGACCTTATATCTTGTTTCTTACCTAGCTTTTAAGGTGTCTGTGGGCAGGAATTCTCTGACACACATATGTGCTTCTTGCTTAGAACCAACTCAATACCGATGCTAGCAAATAATTGCCGACGGCATATCTGTCTGGAAGGAAGGAATGTTGGAGGGGGATTGAACATCCTGGAAAGCTTCAGCTCCTGTGTGTGTTCTGGACACTTCAATTATCTGTGTCTACTCTCAGGATAACTGAACAACAGGAGAGGTATTCTTTGCTCATATCTTTATTGGATGCAGAGTATGAGTGTGGCATGGATACCTTTCACAGGTGCAGCATAAGCAAAGTGAGTATAACTGATGCTTGCAGCTGGGTGGGTGGTTGTCTTGAAGTCTCAGTGCTCATATGTTTACCAGTGTGACTACACCTAGGATACCTGCACAGTACGGGTTAGGAGAAAACAAAGTTCC